CTCTAACGAGTCCCTAGAACGCCATGACAACAACAACAGCTAATGGGCAGGCCAGAGAAATATCCCACAGTGCCTCTCAGCTCTACCACAGTCTAATTATCTGCTAAATACAGAACATTGTTGTCCTAAATGTGCAGCGTTCTGTGAGATGTGGCCCCACAAATCCAGGTCTACTGGGGGCCCCAATTCTAAACTAAACCCTGAATGTAAATGCTATTTAAAATCTTCCGTGCCTTTATGAAGGTAGACGTCACTCTAACTCCATGGTGATTATCCGGTTTATTTCAGCAGAGATACTGATTAGATATCCGCTGATATCAGGATGGAGGCAGAGATCTGGGCTTATCTGAATTTTCAATATGAATCAAAGGCCCAAAAGAGGAAGAATAGTTCCTCTAAAGGCTGTTTTTTTTTCTTTAAAATGTTTATTTAATTAAACCTCCTATAAGGGAGTTTTTTTTTTATCTTTGTTGTTAAAACAGTTAAACACCATGTTTGGTGTCCTGAAGGAAAAAGTTCAGCTTTGCCATAAATGCATACACTGGTCACCATAATTTTACAAGTTATAAAGTTTTAAATAAAAGGTCAGAATGACGCAAATAGCTTCTTTATTTCCAAATTCGTTCGCTGATATCTGAACCAACTTCTCTCAACTATTTGACTCAACTTAATGACGACGCAGAAAAACAAAGCTCATACCATTTATTGCTCTCAGTGAGTTCCTGGCATGAGTCTGGCTGGAGTTTGACCCCCCCCTCCCATCACAAAGCTCATTTAAGTTGCTTGGTTTTGGCTCAGATCCAGCTTCTCCTATATGGAGTGAATTTTGTTCCATTACTGCTGCAAAGCAAGAACATGTTTTCTGAATGGAAATTTGGAAGAAAAAAAAAAATCAACTCAAAAATATGAAACTTTTTTTTATTTAAAAAGGGTAGAGAGTATCTTTACTGGACTTTTTTTTTTCAAATTATATATATTTTTAATTTTTTTATATATATATTTTTTTAAAGATTTTATATTTTCAATTTTTCTTTTCCAAATTTAATTATTAAAAATAATCAACCCAAAAATATGAATTTTTTTCTATTTAAAAAGGGCGGAGAGTATCTTTACTGGACTTTTTCTTTTAAATTATATATTTATTTATTTATTTTATTTTTATATATTTTTAAAGATTTTATATTTTCAATCGTTCTTTTCCTAATTTAATTATTTTCAAATTGCGTTTTCCAGGTCAAATTCTCTTCACCTCTAAAGGGCGGGTTTTCCTCTTGTGTAGGGAGTAAAGATGCATTCCTATTGGTCTGCTGGACGTTAGCGGCAATATTTTATTGGTTGAGCGTTAGCATTGGGCTTAAAGTGAAGAGAAGGTGATCCGTAAAATGCTATTTTAAAGAATGCAATTCGTAAAACTCCATCTGCAAAAAAGAAACTGAGAAAAACGAAAAAAGTTTAGAATAAAAACATTTGGGGAAAACATAAAAGTTAGTCTCAAAATGTTCCTTTTTTAATTTAAGAAGTTTCACTTAAGGATTGCGTTTTTTTTTAAATTTACCTATGACTTTAAAAATGCGATATTTGCTTGCAGCAATAATGGAACAAAATTCCCTCCATATTGCTGTATATTTCTAATAAAAATCCGGTTGAATTTTTCTGAACACTTAAATTTTAGCCTGATTGAACTTTTCTTGTTGTTTTGATGCTTCCAGTTGACAAATAAAGGCTTTAAAAGTTGAGCAGCGTCAGCAGGCTGCTCTTGGATCTGATCAGGATCACATTTATGGTCCAAATAGAGACCCGTTGATTTAAGGCATCCGTTTCTAACTTCTAAATCTGACTGTTTTTATAAAAACTGATGCAATTATCCAACTGATTCTGCAGCATTTTCTCAATTAATTTTTGTTTTGGGAGCAAAAAAACAAAACCTAAATGTCTTAAACTAGTTCACTTCCATAGCGAGTGTCCATTCAGGCCCCAACCATCAGAAATGACTCAATCCATGAGTTTTTTTGTCATGTGCTTCTCTAAAATAAGAGCCACAAACTCCGCAATGACGCTCGCTTGCTGCGGAAGCTGCATCAGATTACAATAAGTGTATTTTCACTTCCTAGATGTGTTTAGAGGACGTTACCAAGACGCTTCTTCCTCTTGGCGCCTTAGACGCACAAAAAGCAGTTATACGCAGTGGCTGGTTCTAAAACATTAAAGCCCATTTCCATTATTTTCATACGGACGTTTTCACAGCAGAGGAGTTACAAATAACAGGAAGTGTGCTTCAATCTGGCTCTTGTTCCAACTATGACAGCGGTCCATTTGAATATTCAAAGAGACCAAACTGAAACAAATAGGATTTAAAAACATGGAATATCACTTTAGAATATATATTTTTTTCTAAAATTATGAAATAAAATTTTAGTTATAGGTGATAACTACAACTTTAACTCCTTGCGACCGGTAAGTGGCGCACTGTCGCTCCCCGGCTCACCTTCTGAATGTTTGCAGTCAGTTTCCAGGTCCAAAAATGCTAAAGTCAACCAAACCAAACATTTAACTTAC